ATATTACACCAATAGTCATATTAACACACAAAGTGACCTGTAAATTACACCCATCTCTAATGATACACCTTCAATTACATGACATTTACACCTCTACTGTAAACCTCCCATTCACCTCATTCCTAATTCTCCCCCTAAAGGGAGGTGTCCCAGAATTGTAGGGAAACCGAGCTTGTCACTTAACCAAACAAGCTGCAACACAGGCAATGTCTTCATGAAAATATTAGCTACCTGATGATCTCCGGGAATTGAATGAACAACCAATTCTTTAGAAGCAATTTTTCTACATACAAAATGATAATCTATCTCAATATGCTTGGTGTGGGCATGAAAAATAGGATTAGCAGTCTTTTGTTTGACACTAATATTATCACGCTACAGTTAGTAGGGCGCCTCATAGGAAACTCAAGCTCCCAAACGGAGATATTTTCCTAGATAAACGCAGAAATCTGTCATAGAAGTGTTTGAATCACCTGCCAAATCTGCATTAGAGAAGGTAATGATGGAAGACCGAGCTTGAGGTAGAAGGAGAATCCCCTGACCAAGGGAGCTATTCACATATGGAAGAATGCGTTTCACAATAGTCATATGTTTGATAGTTGGTTGCTGTCTGAATTGTGATATAATGTTAATAGCATGTATAACATTAGGGTATAGTGTAACCCACCAACAAGGCTCCGATAAGACATGGCATATGTAAGGGATGAGTCGTGAAGACTAAGTCTAAGTCGATGATGACTAGCCAGTGGAGTGGGTGTCGGTTTACAATGCTCTAGTTTTGCTTGAAATGAGATAAAAGGACATATTTTGTTTACGTGAGTATCAATCCATTTGAGCTTCGCACTGTCCAAAAACTAATGAAGAGGACCAAGATCTTTTATGACAAATTCTTTGTTAAGGCAACTAATAAAAGATTGCAACAAAGTGTCTGAAGCCCCTCTTAAGAAGATATCATTCACATACACTAGTGAGACAATCGTACCTTTGCTACTACGGTGGATAAACATAATGGGGTCAAGCTTGCTTACTTGAAATCCATGGGAGAGAAAAAAGTAATTGAACCAATGAAACCAAGCTCTTGGGGCCTCCTTCAAACCATAAATAGTGTGATTCAAGCGATATACAAAACCAAGACTAGCTTTATCCTCAAAACCACAAGGTTGACGCAAATAGACTTCCTCGGATAAATGTATTGAGGGTTGATATCTTGTATTCTGAAGAAATAGATCTGCCAAAATGGAGTCAAAATGATGACTTCGGAGGTCATTAAAAGCCTGGAGGAGTGTCTAGCCAGGTGGACTCAGTTGACTTGGCCCCTGCAGGGGTTTGAGCCCGGCAGGGCTCGAGAAAAATTTCGGATATTCGTACATGGGATTCAATATATTTGGGATTCAATATATATCTGTACATTGGGTATTTCGGTAATTTGTACCATCTATCTGAGACTCGATATATATTGTTGCGATGATTTTTTTAGGGTTAAAAGGAAAAAACACAGATCTCTTTATAATCAGAAAGAACAGAGATGCATGAGGAAAAGTGCTATTGTAACCATATTCTTTATTGCCAGTAAAAAAACTCTTATCTCCCGTGGACGTAGGCATGTTTCCGAACCACGTATATCTTTGCGTTGTTGTTGGTTGTCTATTTCTTTTGTTTTTGTTTATTCTTTCTTGTTTTCGTGGATTGTTTTTCGTTTTTATAAAATGACCATGCAAGAAGGCATTGTAGACATCTAACTGCTTGATCGGCCAATCTTTAGACAAATGCAAGAGTTAGTACAATGCAAATTGTTGCTAGTTTAACAACAGGGCTAAACGTTTTCCGTTTTTATAAAATGACCATGCAAGAAGGCATTGTAGACATCTAACTGCTTGATCGACCAATCTTTAAACAATGCAAGAGTTAGTACAATGCAAATTGTTACTAGTTTAACAACAGGGCTAAACGTTTCAATGAAGTCAATTCCTGACTGAGTGTTACAATAAGCAACTAGTCGAGCTTTATATCATTCAAGACATTAACTCAACTACGGTGGGAGTTTACATGTCATTCCTAATATAATAGATATGAAAACTTTTAGTTATCATTAGATTTTAAATATGGTTGGAGTTTTGGTGCTTGAGTTGATGCACCTATTCAAATTCAGTCTCCTCGCAATATCCATTATGGATTCACTAGATGATAATCTTGACCACCGCAATCATAATTATGAAAAAGGATAAATTTTTAAGCCCCGGAAGTTGACTGATTCACACTTTCTTTTGGGATTGTTCATCATTGTTTATTTTGATTATTTATGGATCATCAGACCTACACTATTTTTTGAGCTGTATCTAAAGTGGAAACGGATCTAGGAAGAGGTCCAGAGAAAGAGAGAAGGATTCTCCCATCACATTCCAAGGGTGCCTCCTGTTGCTGCGAAACTTAGATGAAAATAGACCCATGCGTCTATTGTAAGCCCAATTAACCCCCTTCAACCTTTCAAAAGTAATGCTCTCGCATGTGCACAATATGTGCATCTACTCCCTATATCAAAAGACATTGGGAGACTTTTTTTTTTTTAATTTTAAAATTTGGGAACCATAAAAAAATACTAGATGATTATTTTTAAAAATAAAATAGTTTGAATTTTAAGTTTTTTGACTGGTGGATTTCACCAGTCGAAAATTGGTCGCTCTTTATTCAATCTTGAGATATTATTGTTATTTTAGTACATAGAGACTTCATTTCATAATTTTTTTTTTACTGAGGTTAATCTATGGCTTGAAAAGGTCACATCTCCAAATTTTAAGGTCCTAAAATTGCTCCTACATTGGGTTTTTTCACGAGGGAGTAAATTTACTATATCCTTCCACATAGTATATTGTCTTTTGACTATAAAAATTGGATGTGAATCCCTCTCTACCTTTTTTTTATCTCATCCCTTAGGAATGGGAAAGTTTATATAGAGCCTAGGCTCTAAACAATCAAATTAGAGCCTACCTCAAAAATTTTACTAATGTTTTGATGCTCAAATATTCTGAAATTGATCATCTCGACATCAAGATGCATGGATTTGAGGGAAAAGTTTATATAGAGCCTACGCTCTAAACAATCAAATTAGAGCCTACCTCAAAAATTTCACTAGAAGCGAATGTTTTGATGCCCAAATATATGTTCAAATTGATCATCTCGATATCAAGATGCATGGACTTTGGAAAAAAACTGATTTCAAATTTTGGAAATCTTGCAAGGCATTTTGTACCATCAATTTTTAAGTTATTCAAATTTTTAATTAAAGATAAACATATATTTTAAGGCTAATCAAAGATTTACAATATCAAACCATATTTCTCGATACTATTTGAATGTGGGCTCAAATTTGATTGCTTAGAGCCTTGGCTCTATACAAACCGCACCTCACCTGAAATGGGAAAAGTATATATAAGAAATTATCTTATCCAAAATCCTTACTCTCACTTTTACTGTCTCTTCCTTCACACATACTCTCTCTCGTTTTTCTGAATTTTGCACTTTTGCATTACATTCCCTTGCACCCGAATAGCTGTTCCAACCCAATTTCTCCTTATCGAATCCATGCATAAACTCCAAATTATTTATTTCAAAAGTTTTCATTTTTTTTTAGCAGAGACAACTAATTTATTTGAAATATGTTATCAGTAGGATGGGATTTTGGTGCAATATCCGATGCACTTATCAAAATGTAAAGAACATTTATTTTGGACATAAAATTTCACAAGTTTTTCGAACCTAAATTTCACAAGTTGATAATCTCGACTGCTAAAGAAAAATAGATTTTGAAGCATAAAGATGATCAAATCCGCACTGGAGCTGCAAAATCATGGATCCAAAGGAAAAGTACATTGGAGTGATTTAGTATTGGATTTTGGATTTTTGGAAGGGACCTCATTTGAATATATGTTTAATTGTTTTCGAATTACTGATTAAGGCTGTGGTGGCAGTACCATTTGAGCATTTATCTCCACGATTTACCCAAAAAAACTGCACTCATTGAGCATGTATATTATGTTCATATAGGAGCTTATTGTATACCTGCTCCCTTTGTCAGAAAACTAGGAGCTTATTGTACTCCCTTTGTGAAAAGGGAAAGCTTTCTATGTTTTCCCTTCAACATAGAAGTTTGATCCTTCCCTTACGATCCAGCCGTCCGTTTTTTATCAAGAGAGTCACTCACTTTTTGATCTTAGATCAGACATCTCAAAGTATTTTATTTTTAGTTTTTTTAATACAAAAGTTCTGAATATGAAATTTGGTACGTGCCATTTTCTCATTGGGGCGCACCTATAAAAAATATGCACAATATTTTTTCGATAAAAAAATAATGATCAAAATACCCTTTGAAATTTTTAGAGGTATTTTGATCATTTTATTTCATTGAAAATATTTTCTTTATATTTTTTGTTAGTGCGAGTTTAATAGAGGAATGGACATCCAAAATTTGGTATCAAAACAGTTTATAGAAAAAAAATTAAAAATAAAACAATGTAGAGACATGATAATGTGATTGGGGCAATCTTAGTCCTCCATTCAAAAGTCAACGGATGGATAAAGGGGATGATAGAACTTCTATATTGTAAAGAGAACATAGAAAGCTTTCTCTTGTCAAAAAAAAACCTACTAAGAGGATTTTTTTAATCTAAAAATTGAAAACCACTTAAAAATCATCATATTATTATTTTATATTGAATTTTGAGCTTTCTAACTATTAGATATCACCCTAAAAAAATTAGTCTCTATTCAATCTTGAGACACTATTTTTTTTCAATTGCACAGAAAGTACAATTCGAAAATAATTTCATTTAAGCCATGGGTTGAAGACTTATATCCTAAAATCAGGACCCAAAAGTTCCTCCTAAATTGGGTTTTACCTAAGGTACCAAATTAACATTATACTCTCGCTGGAGCATGAAATATTTTGGCGTATTTCATTACGTACAGTTATTATCCTTGCAAAAATTCCTTAGTTTTTAACAAATAATCAGATTGCATTTTGTTTTGAATTTTCTGCTCAGTCTCTCGTTTACTCCCTGGAAATTTTAGGGTTCTCCCTCATCTCATCCCGCATTTTTAGTGTGTCCACTTCTTCCTCTCTCTCTCTCTCTCTCCAGTTTCAAATTTAGTGTGTCCTCTTCTCTCTCTCTCTCTCTCTCTCCAGTTTCAGTGATGGTGGAGAATCAGGTCTCAGAGGAATTTCTGTAGAAGACCCTTTCTTTTGTGTTTCTCTGTCTAGCCATGGACGAAGTCGCCTGGTTTGCCGGCGTAGCCACCTGCATCAAAATCCTCTTAATCCCCTCTTATCGAAGCACTGACTTCGAGGTCCATCGCCACTGGCTCGCTCTCACCCACTCTCTTCCTCTCTCTAACTGGTACTCAGATCGAACCAGTCCTTGGACTCTCGATTACCCCCCTTTATTTGCTTTCTTCGAATACTTTCTTTCTCTTCCCGCTAGCCTCATTGATCCCACCATTGTTAACCTTACTCAAGGTCTGAATTACTCAGCTGATTCCGTAGTCCTCTTTCAACGCTTCTCTGTAATTCTCTCTGATTTTATGCTAGTTTTTGCCATTTACAGGCTCACAAAGGACCTCCCTTCTTCTCTGCGTGGTCTTGTGTGCATTGCCATCCTATGGTCTCCCTCTCTCTTTATTGTGGACCATGTGCATTTTCAGTATAATGGGTTTTTGTTGGGGATTTTGATGCTTTCTCTGTCGTTCTTAAGAGAGGGGAGGGATTTTATTGGGGGTCTCTTTTTCGCTGTTTTGTTATGCTTCAAGCATTTGTTTGCAGTTGCAGCGCCTGTCTATTTTGTGTATTTGCTGAGGCATTATTGTTGGGGAAAGTATTGGATATGGAGATTTTTGATGTTGGGTTTGATGTTGGTTTCAGTGTTGTCAGTGGCATTTGGGCCATTCATTTACTATGGTCAGGTGCACTTTTTTCTCTTGCTTCCCCTTCTTCTTTGTTTCTTAATTTCTTCTTCATTCTTATTTTCTTATTCTTATTTTTCTGTGTTTCTTTTTGGTGAGATAACCTGCGAATGGTGAATTTGTACCTAATCTGTGTAATCTATGTGAATTTCCTTGGTCTTGCATTTCTTGTAATCTATGTGGATTGCCTTGGTATGGCATGATAATATTCTCTTTTTTTATATTTATGATCACGATGCTGTTGATCATATTAACAGCATGTTTTTCTGATTAGAAAAGCAATCTATTATCAGTATACCACTGCATGTTTTTCTGATTAGAAAAGCAATCTATTAGGCATTTACACAATTAAACATACTTAGAAATAGAGAGAAAACACATCCAACTCTTCTTGCTAGAATCTATCTCAATACAGTTTTTTGTAACCTCTCAAAACAAGGAACCGTGAGAAAACATACCCTTGTCCTTGAATTTTTGCAAGCATCTATTTGGTTAGAATGCAGCTGACCCCAACTAGTCCGGAAAGGCGATGATATATCTGGTTAGAATCTTCACCAAGTAACATACCACTTACTTGGCAATCATCAAAAGAAAGCGAAACCACATGCTTGTCTCGCATGGTTAAATGAGTATGATGAACACTAACATGAGATGTAACTCCATGTCCAATAACCCAGTTGATAGTTCAGTGCACCAGGATTAGGGCAGAATTGAAATGCTATTGTCACCTTATTCTGTAGGCTGTAAGTTGTGCATTCTTTCCTGAGCATAATTGGATTGATCCCTCTTCCAATTGCTTATTGGCTGACAGACTTTATAGTGGTCGAAGCACTACCATGTGGAAACAAAACACAAACTACCATTTGACAGTTCATGACGATTTTTGAGCTGGGACATGATAACTTTAGCTTCTTGTTGAAATACACTGGCTGTTGTTGGGCTTGATCTGTCATGCACATACACAAGGAAATAGGAGAGAGAAACACAAACTTTTTATTCAATAAACTTTTGCCTTGGTGGACTTTACCCATAGTCTACAATTTTTCTCTCAAAAATGTATCTCTAGGCTTGGTGGCCTTCTCCTTTATTTTCTCTTTGCCTAGTACCCAAATCCTCATGTCACCTTTGTCTACTGTATCTCTCATTGATGTATGTCTCACCTCCATCCTCCTATATATAGGTATGTACTTTATCAGTGTCCTATCAAATAAGGAAAATTGTAATATGTGGGCTGGACCGCATTTCTACAATATGTGGTCCAGAGGTAAATTGTAACATGTGGGCTGGACCGCATTTGAAAACAATTGTAACTAACAGTCCAAATGTTTTTTTAATATAATTATTATTTCTAGTTTTCAATTAATTTTTTTTCATATTCATGATCTCCATGTTAAAGATTATATATTCTCTAAAAATTTAGGATCAAATTATAATTAAGAATATATATTTATTGCCAAGTCCAATATGCGGGCTGGTCGCATAGAAACTGCATCCATCAAATAAACCAACTTAATAATTGAGAACTTTTTAGATTTATCTTAGGTGGACTCTCATCCTCATCTAAACTGAACTATACCCCATCAAACTAGACTTAAACCTCATCTCACTCAATATTTATTTAATGCAGATTCCTATCTAATTTGACAACCAACTCGATCGAATCCTTAAAATTTTCCCACCAATCTTAGCTGTGTTAATTTTAACACCCCCCCTTTATTGCCATGTCGTTCCTACAACTTTCAAGCCAAAAAAGCTTTGTCTTCTCTTGATTGAGTGCTTTGGTGAGAAATAAATAAAAAATAAATAAATAAATAAATAAATAAATAAATAAATAGATAAATAAATACATACATATATATATAAAGTCAGCCTCCTTGCTCAACACCTTATCACGAACGAAATGATAGTGCACCTCGATAGTTTGGACTTGCATGAAAGATTAGATTCGATGCCAACATGATTGAACCAATGTTCTTGCTATGAATTGGGCCATTTAGTCCATGGATTCTCCAAACTTGTTGATATAACTAGGTCAACAACACTTTCACGTGTGACCATCATGGTTGATTTATGTTCAACTTCTGTGGGTGACAATGCTGTAGGCTCCTTCTTGCTTGCCCATGATATACTCCCGAGTTCCAAACTGAAACTATTTTTGGATATCAAACAATGAGTGATTGGGTCTCTTGCCCAAATCAGCATCACAAAAACCGGTTAGCTTGATAGGAATTATGTACTTACAGACCACACCCTCATTGATGTTTGTCTTCACATACCTCAATATCCACTTCATCCATGTGTGGTTCCCTTGTCTCTTGCATTAATTGACTTATAAATTCCATTGCATGATGGTTAGACTTCCTACCATCTCTCTATATGCTCTGGCATCTTCCATGAGATGTCCACCATTCTTTGACAAACTTTGATTCACATCAAGTGGTGTTGCAATTGTTTGTGAACCCATCAAACCGGACTTTGCTAGTAGATCCAATGCAAACTTCTTCTGCATAATCAATATGTTGCATTCATCACATAACTTTAGTTCCAAAAAAATATTGAATTTTTTCCAAATCCTCCATTTCAAATCTTTGAGACAGAATCTTTGATTCTTTCAACTTCATTGGGGTTGCTGCCCATGACGATCAGGTCATCAACATAAACCACCCAGATTATTTTCCTCTGGTAGAATGATTTGTATGCAGAAAAATTTGTCGCAGACAACACAACCTTGGGAGTGAAAAAATTATATTACCTTGTCAAACCATGTTGTAGGTGAGCCAAATAGAGCCTTTTTTAACTTGCTCACATATCGAGGCTTCACGAGGTTTTCATATCCCTTGGAGTGATGCATTTACACGTATTTGTCAATCTCTCCATTCAAAAAGGTATTTTGTACGTCCATTTGATGAAGCTCCATACCTTTCATTGGATGAGACGAGAACACTTGTAATCTTTACGACTTGACTCAATGTCTCCTTGTAAATTTGCAAAAAAACCTTTGGCCACCAACTGCTCCTTACAAATAAAAGTAAAAAATCCTATTAAATCCGAATTGGCCAACATTTATAATCCAACAAGGCTTTCACTAGCGAATATTTACTCTTTTAATATATGCTTATTCGTCATTCATACGTTCTGGTCAACCTATGACCTCTCAGAAAAATCAATTAATGCTAAATTTAGCCATCGGTTTCATTTTATTTTTGTAAATCTATTTCTAATTAATTTCCTTCTTCCCATTTAAGAGAGAAAGGGAATCCCATGTTTGGTTCTTAGAAAGTGCATCCATCTCTTCCCCCATGGCATGTTGCCACCTTGGATTTCCTGCTGCTTGTGCAAGACTTCTCAGCTTAAGCTCATCTATGACATGCATCATATATGCATAATGCTTATTATGTTGGAATAATTACTGAGCCTTTTCACTAGGCAGCTCTACCTTTTTGGATAATGCTTGATTTGTTCCCAAGTCTAGTGCTTAAGGGAGTAATATCTTATTCTTTTGACGGTGTGGGAAGGGATGACTTCAAGGGGGACTTTGGATCCTCATTCTGTGTTGAAGACTCATCTCCTTCTTCAACTTTCTAGAAAACTTGATGTCGTTGTGCCTACTTGTCAAATTTCACTTCTCTGCTTTCATGGCTGTGACGAGCTAGTGGATCAATGCAATGTTGTGCTTTTCTTTGTGGTGAATGCCTGAGGAAGATGCACTTTATAGCTCTGTTATCTAGTTTGTTATGAACCTCATCATCATGCTTTACAAAGGCGATGCTGTCGAAAACATGAAGATTTGTGCAGGTTTCATCTTATAGACAACCTCATATGACACCTTTCCATCTCTCATCAATGAAAGTGACATGGTACCTCATGCACATATGAGATTCCACTAGACTCGGATCCTACACATCACTATGGATGATCTCCAATTGGTAAATTTTGCGGTAGAAGATTGGACAAAGAGATGCATTGTGGCATTTACAAATGAATATACTTCACAAATATGATTCCCATCAAATTGAATTATGGACATCCTAATAACTAGCTTCTCCTTTGCCATATCTTTTAGCCTAAGAAGATTGCAATGCCCCATTCTCTTGAGTCATAAGTCTTTAATATCATTGGCGAAACTCTTCTTAATAGAGGGAAAATCCATGCTCATAGCAAAAAAACAACTTTGTTTCTACCGGCAGCAATCCTCACATCTTCCTTTGACAGGATCTTATAGCCTCTTTCACTAAAAATAACATGAAAGCCATGAGATTTTACTGAGTTCTGGAAAATACAGGACATCGAAATGATGCTCAACATTTTCATTGAGCCCTTCTACGTATTATGTTCTCAGCCTTCCACTTCAAGAGTGGTGTCGTCCCCTGTCAGGACTCGTGAATTTGTCAAACAAGGCTCATTTGGTGATGAAGAGATCACCTCTTGGTATTATATGGTTCGAACATGCTGAATATACATATCATTGGTCTTTAACTTCATACACATCATTGACACGAATTGCCTCTTTAGTTTTTTCCTCATAAACAATTTTTCCTCTTTCTGTTTTCCCCTAGCAGCATAATATCCTTGATTATGCCAACAATCTTTGGCATAATTTCAAACTTGCCAACAAATATAGGAGCTCCCCTCTATTTGATATAATGGCTTTATGGAGACCCACATTTCACATTATAGTGAGGTTGTAGTTGGGATTCTTTATTGTTATGTGACATTCCTGAGCCACAATATCTTCCTCTACTAAGAGACCTACCACAAGAGTTAATAAACAAGGCCCCATTACGATCATCCACTTTCTTTGTTTGACTTTAATTTTCTTCTTTCAAGTACTGTCTCTTGAAGCAATAGGTTTATAGCTTGCTCCATGGGTTGCTTGAATATTTTTTTAATCAACACCCTCATGTTATCAAATGCAGTCTAGGTTGTTCCAGATGAAAACTGGGGTGTCACTTTAATGGATCACAGAGATCTTTCACTCTTCATGAAAAGTTAGTGATGGA